TTATTGGCACGTGTTTCTTGGTAGCGGTGTTCATAGTTAATCTCAACTCGACGCCACGCTACAATTGGTGACCCGTATTTTGGAACACGCCTCAACTTCTGATCAAATCTTCCAAAGAAGCCAATTCGGTGAGTCTATGATTTATCTATCCACGTCTGTCGTATATTTTCATATTTTTTAATATATAATATACTCGACATGACGGATAACGATAAGAATAGTATTAATATAATAGACTCACATGTACGTGTACCGAATCCTTGTTACTTTTTATTCGCGTGACGATGAATTCCACGTTATATTCTCCTCGCTGACCCGGCTGCTTGGTACGGAATGCATACGCATAAGCATATCTGTCTACCACCCAGCACCAAATGGTTAAGTAAACGGTTTCACTGCCAACTTAAAAGTGCTATACGAGCACACGAAAACGGCAACTGGCACGAAACCTTACCGCTCGTTCTTTTAGGGATCACAACGAGCTTGAAGGCAGATATACAATGTTCCGCCGCTGAACTGGTATTCGGCACGACATTGCGTCTGCCCGGAGAATTCTTCACACCACGGAGCAGACCTAATTTCGGTAAATCAGACTACGTCCATCGACTGTCTGCATTTATGCGAACGCTGTCTCCGGTGTCAACTCGAATACAACATCGACAGGTCGCTCTCCCTCGAGAGTTATCTACCTGTTCACATGTTTTCATACGAGTAGATTCGGTACGCAAACTTGGCAACAACCTTACGAAGGCCCTTTTCACGTGATCGCTCGTCACGAAAAGACCTTCAAGGTTGATCGATATGGACGCGTCGAGATCGTCAGCATTGATCGTCTCAAACCAGCACACGTCGATGACAGTGCCCTATCTGATAACCTGAGATTCAATGCTAGACCTAGCAAACCTACTAGCGGGATCCTCAAACCATCTTCAGGTCCCACGCTAGATACATCTGAGACCTCATTCTCACGTCCCAGTCAACAGCACGCGTCATCTGCACCGTCTACGGATGAGACGACAGTCTCACGTCCAGATCAGCAGACCACGCCGCCCTTGACTTCGGATGAGATTGCAGGCTCACGCGACGCGAACGAGACTACCGTCTCACGTTCCGGTCGCCGAGTACGGTTACCCGTACGCTTCCGCGACTAGCCGCACAGTTAAAAACGATACGGTGTAGGATTATTCCTATACTACACGCATGCTACACTCTTCTCTTTTTTGATTTTCTTTTTGTTTCCTGAGCCCACGCCTTCGACCATCTCCGTTTGGTTCCGTCGACTTCAGTCAACTTTGGCGAAAGCTGGACTGGCCACCCGTGCTCTTGTCAACGCACTCAGTCGATATTTGGTTTCGAATGCTTGGCATACGCTTGGTCTCGAACATGGTCGCTTCTGGTCTTTTGGCTCAACGTGGTTTCGTCCTTCGTCTGCAGCGTTTCTGGTCCGCATTCCCTACGAACGCCCTCTTCAGATTCTGGATACAAACCACTCTCGTGTAGCATGCCAACTCAAGCAACAAATACAGCACATCGCTCCTGGTACCGTTCTCCGAAAACGACCTTCGTTGGCAACTCGACGATCAACGATCGCTTTCCTGTTCGCCAATTCTTCCGTCCTACAATCGCTCGTCAGCCGATCAGTCCCACGATTCAAACCGCTATTTATCGAAAGTGTAAACCCTTTCTAGCGGGGGGCTCCTGTAGTGACTCACATTTATCACGAGAACACGACTGGTTTAATAAAAACAATTATTATTATAACCAACTGTACCAGTGTTTGTTTTAACGTGCTTTTGTTTGACTGTGCTAATGACAGCTATTTTGTGCTTCCATTCTTTTACTTACACTTTGATTGTAACTTCGCGCGAATTCGGTTACCTTCTGTAACCAAGCTTGTATCCTGGCACGATCTCGGTATCCTTTCGATGCCACGAGATCGCCAGCGAATACATCTCGATTTGGTCCATTAACTGTCTTCTGATATTTGGCTTCTCGGGGATTTTATGGATTTATTTGGTTACGTCCAACCTTCGCCTTCTGATTAACTTGGCACGTGTTTCTTGGTAGCGGTGTTCATAGTTAATCTCAACTCGACGCCACGCTACAAGATCACCAGGGAAATAGATATTCAATCTATAGCGCGGAGAGGAGGCCGACAATGGTCAACGCAGGAATATTGGATTCAATCGGATGGCATGGCTCAGTCTCGCAGAAGTGGACCCTCTCTATAACCTGTCTTTATTCACCTTAAATATGTTATTCTTTCTTTAGCATAGATGTATTCTTCGGAAGTATCAAGAGCCGTATTACTATTTGTCACAATACGATAAGTCAGTATAGATAATGATGAGACTTCCACTAAGATTTTATAGATCAGGTAGTCACATCATGACAATTCTGCAATTTTATGATTAGGTCTATTATTAGAAAAGTTCTTATAACGAACTTAGACCATAATTCTACCTAACTCCCATGCGTGTATTGATTGCAAAGTAGTCCATGGAGAGATGGTCCACAAAATCCTTCCAAACGATTATTGGTGCCAAGAACGGGTGTCTTCTCTTGCTTTTTTTTCTTTCCTCTGGTTGTTGACTGGATCACGGAGGCCTCGACATTTCACAAAACGCATGGAATACCCTGAATACATTCGACATGACAAGATAACTTATACTTTGCAAATAGCCTAGCTCTTTCATTTCATTCACAACAACAAATGCAAGTAAAAACAGTTAGCGCAACAGTAAGCCTTAACATTCAACATCCTGGAATGCAGCACAAATATGACTAAGCAAACAGCACTTAGTGGAGAAGACCTAGAAGAGATATACTCTTCGGCTTGGTGTTTGGGAGTTTTTGCTCCGGGAACCTACAAAATTGAAGAACGACATTTGGGTCGACTATTTGTAAGTTGCAAATAAACTTTGGTACCTGAAATGGAGCTTGGTTCTATTGTTAATTTGGGTTCGTAAATTGCAAATAGATCGATATACCGTACTTCAATAACGGGAACAGGCGAAAACGTGGACGTAAGATCCGATGCAGTTGTAAAAGCACTGGTTGACAAACCGAGGACGGCATTTTCATGTCTGATGGGCAGTTGAACTTTGTAAAGGCTGTCAGGAAACAGTGATGTCAAACTTTTTATCCCATGCATCAAGACAGTTCTATTGTACGATGCTAAAACCACAAGGGCCATTTCAATCATCAGACAACTGTCTACACAAAATACTCCACATCATTTAGCCAGACCACCATCAGCAATAAATGACCGTGACAGGAAGCAAACCATCTTTCAGCTGAAAAAGAAGTTGAGGACAAATACTGGAGGTGGTAAAGTAATATTGTATGGAAACCATCAAACTGCATCTCAGGGCAAGGTTAAAAGAAAAAAGAGCAAACCAAAGAACACATTGTGCCAGATAACATAATGATGAATAGCACATGGGAACAACTCGAAAAGGTAGCTCAAGGCAGAATTGGTTCGATATTCGTGCTGAGCATCCTGTGCTTCAAGAAGAGTGACAGGCTTCAGTGTGTATGTATGAAAGCATGCAGTGATGGAATGGACTCTAGGTAGTCCACAAACTACAAAGTTCATAGGAGAGCCACAGGTAATCTCCACAACCAGATGGTTTATCTTGAGTGACGAGACTTCGTCAGCCACGAGGGAGGTGAAGACATGGAGCACGATTCTTGCGTCCTCTGCATAATCTCCGCCATCATGAAATGGTAGGAAGTCGTCCTGAGAAGTATGTTGTTAGCAGTACTACAGAAATTCATATGGTTGTAGAGATTGAGTTTTATCGAGATTATGAACTGATCAATGTTATAACACCATAGAAAACCCTAAAGCTCTGGTCGGCTGTTTCTTCCTAGTGTGGGACTACTCGGTAGTGCGTATCCACGATCCCGCACTCAGGGTTCCAACCTAAGGTTTTTGATCTTGTTCGAACACTTTACATCAAGACTATCAAGACGGCATCCAACGGTGTTAATGTCTAACTTGGACCAGCCCACAACGTTGTGTGGCCATCTTCCATTTTCTTCGTTGAGCAAATGCCTCACAGCTGACGTGGTTGAAATCCACTGGTTACGGCTTCCAGCAAAGCTCCGAGAATTACCTGCCGAGGCGGGGTGCTAGTTGGCAAATGATTATCCATTGTAATTAGACTGTCTTCTGCCAGTAGATCTCTGATCTCGGGCATACATGATAGTAACCCCATCACATTACTCAATAGGCAATGTATGAAAGGGTGACAGTCTCTGAATGAAACAGATAGGACAGATTGAAAGAGATGTCACCAAGTAGCAGGTTAGACTCCGTTGGGTCGATTGGTTTGGACTTTAAGGAACAGTAAGATTGGATCGACTAGTCTGATTCGTCAAAATCATACGTCATAAGAGGTAGTAGAATAGAAGCCCACGTCGAGTCGCTCTGATGAGTCGCTCAATAAACAGCTGCTTGATTACTTAAGAAGCTCGTTCGAAGTTTCTGATCAGTTGTCTGGCATGTCTAGGTCAGCTTCCATAAATGCTAATACCCTGTCAAAGTAAGAGTTATTATACAAAGACAGCTTAATACCAGAATTGAACCGCTTCTCTAAGGAGAAAATACGTAGACGGCTTGTTACCGTTTGTTTACCATTTTATAAGTGTTTTCTTCAGGTTGCGTTCGACGTCATATTACTTTCAACTGGCACTGTAAAATCTAAAGGTTCCCACTTAGTCTGGATTAATAAATCATTCATAAGTAACAGAATCCGACTTTATTGCTCAGAGTAACCACTGTTAGCCCGTCCTGAATAACCACATCACGAACTTTTAATTACTATTTTTAATAGTTGAATTCATGAGCCGATCTAAGCTGGACCATTATTGAAACCCCCAATCTGATAATTACTATTTTGTTTACATCATATATATTCGTCAACCAACCAATCACAGCGTAACACATATCTGGAGTTGTATAAAGTTCCACGTTAGAGTCTGACTTCTTAAGAATGCGTTGGTTGTTGTCGTGTCTGTTCCTCGTTACATATGTATCGTGTAGCAAGGTCCTTGAGCTCACTAAAGACAATTTTCATTCCGAGTTAAAATCAATCCCAGTTGCTCTGGTGAAGTTTTACGCTCCATGGTAATTTCGATAGGAAATTATTAAAACTTCATATTAAACAGGTGTGGTCACTGCAAAAACCTAGCTCCTGAGTTCACTTCAGCCGCAGAAATCATATCCGGGAAAACTGGCGATGTTAAACTCGTTAAGATTGACTGTACCGCCCACGAAAGTATCTGCTCAGAATTTGGAGTTAGTGGCTACCCTACTCTAAAAATCTTCAGGAATGGAGATTTAGACAGTGAATATAATGGTCCAAGGAATGCAAGTAGGGTTCATATTATTATAACCGGGGTTCAGATGGAATCGTCGATTTTATGATGTCTCGAGCAGGACCTGCATCCAAAGAAGTCAGCACTGTTAGTGATGTCGAGGACTTCTTATCAGACGACAAGCCAACTGTGTTTGCATTTATGAAATCGTCTAGCGACCCATTAATGAAGACTTTCATGGCTCTTGCAAAATCAATGGTCGACGACGCTGTATTTTGTCATAGTCATAATAATCTTTTTGTAACTCCTGATGACTAGTAAGTTACTTGTTCTGTAATTCACATTTCTCAGCGAATTGAGAGTTTACTTGCCTAAACGTCTTCGAACAAAGTTTGAGGATGACTTCGCTCTTTATAAAGGAGAATTTGAATCTAGCAATATTAAGGAATGGATCCGTAAACATGGGTAAGGAAGCTGTTTCGTCTTATTTTCGATTTAGCCAGGGACTGGTTGGTTACAGAACACCGTCAAATTCATTTTACTTCGAAAATGTCGATTTAGTAGTATTATACAATAACCAATCCGTAGATTCATATCCATCTGGAGTAAAGTATCTAAGAAATCGTGTTTTCAAAACACTTAAGGACAATCCTAACAAATTCAAGAATTTGGTTTTCGCTTATAGCTTCTCGGACGATTTTTCTTATGAACTATCTGAGTATGGTATAGAAGCGGATAAACTACCAGCAGTTGTAATCCAATCTAAAGGCAAAAAGTACAAGCTTGAGCAGTTTAGGTAAGTTGTTTTCGTAATAATTTTTTAGTCTTGATGCATTCTCCGATTTTTTGAATAAATTTGAAGATGGTCTTTTGACCCCACATGTCAAGTCAGAACCTCTCCCAACAGACGACTCTAGTGCAGTTACAAAGTTAGTTGCACTCAACTTTGATGAGATAGTAAATAACGAGGAAAAGGATGTAATGGTCGTCTTTCATGCTCCTTGGTGTGGTCATTGTAAAATTTAATGCCAAAGTACGAGGAAGCAGCCAGTAAACTTAAAAATGAACCAAATTTGGTCTTGGCTGCTATGGATGCAACCGCCAATGACGTCCCTTCGCCTTATCAAGTCAGGGGATTCCCAACAATCTATTTCGTCCCTAAAGGAAAGAAATCTTCACCTGTACCTTACGAGGTAAGTACTTAGAGTCTTCTCACGTATTCTTTAGGGTGGTCGTGACACTACTGACATCATCAAATACCTTGCACGCGAAGCTACTGAAGAACTTAATGGGTACGACAGATCAGGCAATCCAAAGAAAGGTGAACTATAGGATGTCTTTAATAATCTTATTTTTCGAAACATTGTATTCTACTTTCCCATTTTTATTGATTGTTTGGTAAATCATAATTGTCATGTATTACAACATTTAGTTGGTAATAAACCTTTTTTTTTTGAAAATATTAGTTTTTTGATTTATCCAAGATCAAGTTCTTCAATTGGGAATGAATATATTTCCAGTTAGAAATATCTCATTTTTGTCCCGTATGCTTCTTAACGAAAAGTTAATACGATTTCGTGTTAGGATTATTTCCTATCAGTCAGTTAAAACGTAGGACCAGGCATATATGTGCATCGGTCCAAGTTGCCATACCTCATTAACACAACAAGATGGACACCAAATTCATAGTAGTTACTTCGTTGGTAGTAATATATAAAAGAAAGGTTGTGTATAAGGATATAATACAGGAAGAAAGAATCATTTCACAGCAAGTAGGATGTAAACCAATTTTAATCTCACGGTTTAGGGGAAGACAGAGTGTATACACACACGCCATTGTGATCGACTCTTAGTTATGTCACTGAGAGTCTCCAAACATTGGTTACGATAGTCACGCGTCTAACCTCACTATTACTTACCCAGTGTTCCCATCAGATGCGAGCAATATTTCTAAGGCAGCTGTGGTCAAATACTAGTACCTTATGAGTATCTACTCTTAATGGCCACGTTTCTCAGCCGTAAAGTAGAACAGGACGAACTGCTGCGCAGTATACTCGTCCTTTAATTGATAGGTGGATATCTCTCCATAGGTGATGTAAGTTGGCAAAAGCCAAACGATATTCCTGAATTCACGCGGGGATTTCTCCAGACACCAACCCATTAGGGATGGTCAGACTTCCAAAATAAGTGAAGTTGTCGACGCGTTCGGCTACTTCACTCTTTATCCTTAGTTCAGAAGATAACGCAAGCCAGTCCTGAAGCAACAACTTTCATTTAGAGGGGGAGAAACGCATCTCAAACATCCTGGCATTGTTGCTCAGTATTACCGAAATGCTGTGCATTCTACCGACGTCCTCAACAGACAGGACTATGTCATCTATGTATCCTAAGTCGATAAGTGGACCTCCTGGAAGGAGATCAATTTCCGAAAATTCAGACGACGAGGACGTTGTTCCTAGCAGTAGATCAATGACGATACAGAACAAAAATGGAGATAGTGAACAACCTTGACGGACACCACTTGAGGTTGCGAAGTCAGACGAGAGTTCACCATAAGCTCTGACTCGACTAGTAGTGTTCGAGTAAAGAGCCTTCACGAGGTTTATGTACTTCTGAGGTACACCTTTCAGTGACAGACACTGCCATAGAACCTCTCAGTCTACAGAGTCAGATACTGCTTTTAAGTCAAGAAAAAACTATCATTGTCGGGTGCCGATAAGTATGCCTGTGTTCTGAAAGCTGACTAATGGTAAATAAGTGGTCGATGCAGCGACGGCCAGATCTGAAGCCAGCTTGATTTCTTCGTGTTTGCAGTTCACGAGTCTTGGTTAGGCGCCCGATAATTATTTAGGCTAGTATTTTAGATGCTATATTAGTCAAACTAATCCCTCTATGGTTATTACAGGATGATTTTGACCCCTTCTTATATATTGGGACAATCAGTGATTGTGACCAGTCAGATGGGATTACGTCCAACTCCCAGATTTTAGCTAAAATACTAGTCAACCTGATCGCTAATATTGGACCACCATCTTTAAAGACCTATGGAATCGATCCATCCACTCTTCCTCGTTTCAGATTAGCTATGCTGGATTGCTTGCTCGGCATTCTATCCCCTGCATTAATATAAGAGGTGATTTGTTGGAATTTAGGTGAGTCTACATGATATATGTACTATGCATTTCATTCATGTAATATCCCGTCAGATTGGCTAATAATTTAAATCTATTAAGATGTGGATGCATAATATAATTGTTCTTTTGGTCGACCGAACCAAGCATTTCTATATTATAGCTTTCAACAAGCAGTCTTAGCGACGCCTTCAATTACTTAACCCTGCTATCTTTTCTTGGAAGTATTAGCTATCTACTGGGGATCTCCAAACAAATATCCTGGGGTCTTTCCTAGTCGTGCCGAATTGATATTCATGGCCTTAACCTTCGCCGCCGATTACCGGTGCTATGTTCTCTGATCTGCCTCTTACCTGAAGATATAGCTCTAATAGGGACTTAAGGTTCTCTAACCAACCATTAGCATACCTCATGGCTTAGGTCCTTTCATCCAAGTGATGCGCCATTACTTTCGCACAGATAAAAATCGCTTACTACTTATAGCAGCACAGGTATACTTTGAAACATGCCTCACTCAATGACCAGTGGAACCTAAGGCATACTTATATTCGCCGTAAATAAGTCTATCAATGTCGATCTTTGATCTAGGTGAGACTGGTTGCTTATTCCGTTTAGTTTTCTTTAGATTGCACTGAGAATCTTTGGGACTACGCACACGCACCATCTAAAGGCATAATATTGGTATCTGGCATGGTGTAGATACATTGTATAGACTGAATATTTTATAGTATGCACAAAACTAAGTTACTTCAAATCAGTATCGTTATAATGTTATCTGCTAGCTTTGTGAAATTTCTTTTGGGTTTCATGGGATCAAGGTTGTTTAATAGGTCGCAAATCAATGGTGATTAGATACTGGATGTAAACTTCTGTTGGAGATTGCATTGCTTCATATTATTTGCCTATAATGCACATAGACCTACCTATGTTCAACCCCCCCCCACCATATTGTATGTTTTCTACAGAGATAATTGAGTTTAGCATACACGTGTTTATCCACTTACTTGCATCTTATGCTTTTATTAGTTTATGTATAAGCTGAATCATGCTCAACTTTAGAAGAGTCGAGGTGTAACCTACCTCAATTTTCTATTCCCACTTCGTTCGTCTGCTGCCCATACACATGCTGGAAAATACGTATCCGAAATACTACTTGTAATCGACTTTTTATTTCCGTTAGTTATTAACGAGAGTAATCAAAAGAATATATGCTAAGTAATTGAAGATTGACACACATCATCTTCACTGAAGTCAGAGAAGGATCCTACCAAGACTAAAGGTTATATATTCACCGATGATTTTGACAGATGGTCATAACACGTTTCCCATACCTTACTTAAATGTTCAATCAATAGTAACTGATTTTCCATGCATTTTGTACCAGAATAAATGATGACTTAGTAAGAACTATATATTTAAACAGTGAGTGGAATTGAATGCATGTTTGGTTATGGTAGAGGTTCGTCAGCTGCATTTGCCTGTGTCCTAGTTGAGTTTAACTAGCTTATCAAAAACACACCAAGTAATAGTTTATGTTATATATATATATAAGATATTTTATTCGCATAGATAACAATTAGTATATAAGAATAGCTATGAATATTTTTTCTTAAAAATAAAGCAATACACCCTATCATTTCCAATTGAAAGTTATTACAAAAAAATAATATCACAAACCTTATGGCTAGCATAAACAATAACAATGTGTTTGTGTGTGTAAAATCAAACAGAATGCACGAGTGAGTACAAAGTGTACATAACTGCTCAACTGTTAAGCCATGCAATTTCTATATATATATCAGCCGTGATTGTATAACAAGAAAACAATATTATACTGTTAAGCTCAATAAGAAAGAATTGACAAAACGCCTTTTAGAAGAACTATTAGGGTTGAAATTACGATAAATACGCTTATTTCAGAGAGACATCACTAGAGAAATCAAATATCCATAAACCTAAGGAAAAAGGAAATAACTTTCATAGAAAACACGATTTTAAGAGAAAAGATATTATTGAACCAAAAATAGCTGTTCATGAGCGTGCTATATGTGTTTAATATACTACACATACACGAAAGTTCATATTGGAGATAAAATATCGCAGATGAAGCATAGAATAAGAACATTGTTTTGTGTTGAAAACGCTGTGATGCTAGTTTTATTATAATGAGCATGCGCCACTTAAATTCTCTTGACCACAATGTAACTAATTAAAAATTTATCGGGATCGATATCAGTAGTGAATTAAGCATTTCATTGAGAAGCACGTTCACGCATTTTATCTAATAACTGAATGAGTTGAATATCAAATCTTGGGCGTTTACCAGGATCATCTTTTGTACATAAATCAAATAGACGAACAATTCGACTGTCCAAATCAGGTGGAATTGGAAGACGAAGATTTTCTGTAGTTATCTACAAAAATAACATTATAATAGAAGAGATTCACTATAAACCATACGAAACTCAGGATATTAAAGTAAAATCGAAGTGACAGCTATATGACTTACTACGTAGTTTAAAGGTGTCCAATTTCATGTTGGTCTGTATTTTTACACTAAATAATCGCTTAGCAGTAGTCACTCTGTCTAGTCAGTCACAAGCAACATAGAATCTGGTACGTACGTGTATCAACCTAAGTTGTCACAGAACATCCAAACAGTAAAATGGAATTAACCAGGTGAATGCCAAAATAGTAAAATAATAACAGTGGTAGTACAGACGATTCAACATAGAAGATATGATTCGAAAGGAAAGAACGAACGAAGAGAATAAGGTGTAGAAAATAGTTCTGAAACCAGGACCCTAAAGGAAGCCAAAGATTTCTCTATTGGCTAAGTTATATTGAAACATTACTCTCACCGTAAAGCATTTTTAAATAAAGATGGATGATGGGTATCAGTTAAATTCAGGACACCCGTCTCGTTCTATTTGGGAATTGTGAACTGGATTTATCTGCATCCCGGAATTGAAGTTCACTTTTGGTCTCGAACTCAATACCGTTCGCTTAAAACGCGATTGCGTCATGCACTTAGCTACTGAGTTCAGATAACCAGTAGCGTAAACAATGGGGTGAAGTTTTAATTCATTTTTGTATTGGTTGTTTGAATCTTCCCATTGATGTTTAGGATGGCGACTGATCAAATTGCCAATAAAATCTACTCTGAGAGTTTATCGATCAGTCATAAAAAATGTTAAAAGCTAACTTATTATTCAAGAGCATGGTTGTTGAACTGCATGACTGATCCATGATTAGTTTTTTATAATCTAGCAGTAACAATATTAAAGGCAAGAATGATTAGAATCTGGTTATACAAAAAAATAAGTATCGTAACTCAAGATTTTAGTAACCGATTTTGTAGCATATTAACAGATGACATTTGTTTTTACAATATCATTAAAATGCGACTGTGCATTCAACTGACAATTTCATAATAAGACAGAATACAACGATCAAATATCCCACTGATACTGTAGTGTCAGCTAGTGATGTTGACAGATATAAGTAGTATGTATCAATAATTGAAAGTGGAATATCTGGCAGCAGAAAATTGAGAAGATCGAAGACAAGTAGACGAGGACAGAGAGTGATTGGTGTGGAAATGAAGGAACAATCAAGTGTAAGACAATTGATTGACATTTTGCAAATAAAGTATTTACTGTATGGTTCTCAGATTTTAGTAAAAGATTCTGTAATTTTGTAATCAGATGTATTTGATTGTCTCCACTGGTGTGTCCTAGTTCACCACCATATCACCATTCAAGATTATGTTGTACCATTTTGCGTGTAATTTACTTAGTTTTAACTAAGTTTAAAACTAAATATGTTTAATGAAATTATTCTATTAGAACATCATTACAGGTGATCAATAAAGTGTCATTGAAATCAACGATAATTGTAAAGAATATAAGTAATAAATGATTTCGAATCGATGTTCAGTAGTTAACCCCCAAATGCCCTGGTACGGCCGAGAGTGTAGAGAGTCCGTTCTCCCTCTCCAAATGCTCTCACATGGCCACGCGTATATAGCCACTGCCAGGGAAGTCCTACTCGTGGCGGGGGTGTTGTTTACGAAATTGAAAGGACGAAAAGCGAATGTCCAGCGCTTTAACCGGGTTGGTAGACATAGAGAGTCCACCTAGGGGAGTTGAAAAACCCTGAGTGTGGCCTTCTAAGAAAACCATTTGCCTCGGTTTGGGCACCCGGGGAGTATCACAATCCACACACAAATCAAGTGACTTGTGTAGCGCATATGTATCTAGTGCCCCGCCCCTAATAATAAAGTTAACTAAAATCAGTACGTGGACTCAAGGTGTTTTCAACTGAAATACTTTTTCTCTTAAACAATTAACATAATAAACATTTTATTGATCTGTAAACATTTTTCATTAATATTAATATCTGGATGTTGAAATATGTTAAGAATGTTTAGTTTTTTTTTATAAAGAAAAGTTCATCATTTAATAAATTGTATGAAAAAAAAACTACAAATATATTAAAAGTTATTCAGAAAGAAAACGTTAAATTAAATTAAATGATGAATGTTGAATATGATTGTTCCTTAAAAGTGGAATGATTTATTGACATTGAAAAAAAAGCGCCACTTAAAATATGTTACGATACACCCTGAATTTAATTAGCATAAAAGTCTTTTAATGTTGCTAGAATAGAAACAATATACTGAAATTCATGTGTATATTCATAGTTAGTAAATATAAGATTAGAACATTATAAGAGAAAGGTAGATGACATTGAGGTAATACATAATATGGAGAGCAAAAAAAACACGATTTTCAAGTTATGTCTAGCAATAACCTACAACTGGCTGAATGGTAGATGCGAATACATAAGGAGTCAGACATTCACCTTAATTCATATTTTTAATCCCATATATAAAACATGACCGAAATTGAGAAAAAAAACATCTGTACGGACTCATTGAATATTTATGTGAGTGGTTTTAAGTGACTATGTGTACAGACTCTGTGACAAATCATATTTACCTTAGAAATATTGCTCACATCTGTTGGGATCATCGGGTAAGTAATAGTGAGGTTAGACGCAGGGTATTAGGAAATGATGGTAAATCAGTTGATGAGGTTGTGAATCTTCATCGACTGAGATGGTTGGGCCACGTGTTACGTATGCCCGAACACCGATTACCACGACGTGCAGTGCTAACCGGTATTGGAGATGGTTGGAAGAAAATTAGGGGTGGCCAAACAAAAACGTGGCATCAGTGCTTGGAGTCACTAACTTCTAGTCTGAGTCATGTTGGGAGATGCAGATTATTTGGTTGAGGTCCGCGTGACTATCGTAACCAATGGTTGGAGACTCTTGGTGACATGGCTCAGAATCGATCACAATGGCGTCGGTGTATACACTGCCTGTCTTCCCTTAAACCAAGAGATTAAAATCGCTTCATATCTTTCCTTCTACCAACTAATTCTTTCTTCCTGTACTATAACCTTATTGCAATCTTTATTTTATATATTACCACCTCTGAATTAACTACTTTTATGAATGCGGTGTCCATCTTTTTGTGTTAATGAGGTATGGCAACTTGGGACGATGCATATATGTGTCTGGTTCTACGTTGTAGCTGACTGACCACATATCAAGAAATTACACCTTAAAAAAATTAGAATCCTAAATTTCTGCAGAACTTCTCATTATAACTTTTATACCTAACTGTTTGAAAATTTGATTGTTAATAGTGTTTAGATTTTGTTATACAATAAAGCATTTGAGTCTTACATTGTTGAATTATGTAATTTATCCAGAAGATTAACGTTATCTGTAACATTGTTCACTAATTGTCTTATACTTAGCACTTTTTGTCATTCGGTGAGTTAGAATGTAATGTTGATAAGATGATATTTCAATCACTAATTTTTAGTATATTTGTTTTTCATTTAACTTGTTCACCCAGGTTACACTGAATATATTCATATTAGACAGTTACACAAAACTTGAGTTTTTCTATCATTTATTATCTAAAAATATCTGCATAATATGTAACTAAACAATTAATACATTGTAGATTTTTTTTAAAAACTTTCAACCAATATGAAATTCAGAATCTTCAATACGAACATCAAGAGAGTTCAACTGTACAGAGCTGAAACTTCGATAACTACTACAACCATCATCAAAAAGGTATAAGTATTTATGAACAATTTCCTAAGCTAAATACTCAATGTCCGTTGGTCCGATACCCTCAGCAAAATCCTACTGTGGGAGAGAATAAACCAGCCTCCAGATGAAGAGGAAATTAGGAAAAGACGCTGGAAGTGGATAGGACACATATTGTGGAAATTAGGAAACTGATTCACGAAGAAAGCGCTAACTTGGAGTCCTGAAGGGAAAAGGAAAAGAGGAAGACCAAAGGACATACTGCGACGGGAATTGGAAGCAGACATGAAAAGGACGAATAGCAACTGGAAAAAATTGCCCAGAAGAGAGTTGGATGGAGAATGTTGGCGAGCGGCTTATGCTCTTCCACTAGGGGCAACAGGTGTAAGATTCTTTTTTAAAAAGTTGCCAAAAATCAACAATATTGTTCTATTAGTCAACTGAAACGTACTACACAATCTCGATTAAAACAATTTACATTGAATAAATAAAAGGGAGTTAAAGTAGAATTGTAGATTAAAATGAATGAGATAAATAAATTCAAAAGTATTAATTGTCATCAGTGTAATTAATATTTTAAAAATGATTTATCCAATTTATAGCATCTATGTATATGAATATTTCATACACATAATAGTTCCACTTATCATCATCTTGAAAAGAACAAAAAACAAAGATTTGAGCAGAATAGCATAAATTTATTTTTATTTCATTTCATTGTCGTCAAATGTATTTATAAATTTATGTGTACATACCAAAGCATCTAGATTGGCTGAACATAAAGGAGGGTATATCGTAGATTTTTGAACATGTTCGGAAAAGCCTTCGAACAAAAGGAAGAATTACTTTAAGTAGCGCAGTTACTAAACATCTCTTTGATACAGAAAGTCAGGTCTATATCTTGCAATTTTTCAAGATGAATAATAAAAAGCCAAGCTCCAGTCTTGACTTTTGCTGAAGGTGTCAGAAACCTGTTGGATCTGTTCAAAAGATGGTTATTAATCTTCCTTTGCCTTGGTGACAAATATTCTTTTATTGTATCATCATGTCCTTTTATTTTGACTGTCTTCTAGTTTAATAATCTTACTTTAACTAAAGGAACTATACTCATTTTCTCCTTACTTATAACCATTACATAATCATTACATAACCACTTATTTCTAGCCATTTAGACTTTTGTTACTATCAATGTTGTGGAATATTCTTTTATATAGAGTATAAACATGCAATATTTTATTCAGTCCATGAATTTTATTTACACCCTTGCTATATTATACTGATGTGTCTTCAAAATAATTTCCAACTAAAATATTTCATGTCAGTAATATTATCAATCACTACCAAATATGCCTTCTTTACTGTAAATGACTTTACCTAGTAAAATGTTACCATAAACAAACGTTTATAAATAATTTCACGTTTACTATGTTTACAAATTAGTGTAAACTTCAATCAATCGACAAACAAACGCATTAATCTAATCATTATAAAATGAATCATAATTCAATGAGTAATATCCATTGTTGGACATTCAAACAAACATTAAACTACTTTTAAAAAAAGCTTCGGTTTAATTGAAATTCTGATTAACAGTGAATTCGGAGAAAAAACTTTCTAATCATTCAAAAACAATACTTGATAGTACTGAAATATTAGGTGTTGTGTGAATCGACAACTGCATCTCTGTGATAATGTGGTATGGTAACTCGAACTGACGTACGTACGTACCAAGTTCTACATTGTTACTGACTGACTGAATATTACTGAAAACTATGCTACAATAAAACATCGATAGAAATAATACTTCTTATCAAAGACCAATCCTTTTAATTAGAAATTTTATAAATATTTCTAAATTCTTTACAGATTAATAGTATAATACTCTTCCTTTCTCTCTCTCTCTCTCTCTCTCTCTCTCTCTCTCTATATATATATATATATATATATATATATATATATATATATATATATATATAGTACTGCTTTTGTGAAGAAGTGGCTTAGTAGCTAAGGCCTCCACTTTGAACCGCACTCGGGGTTCAACTAATTAACTGCTAAGAACAATCAAAGTCAATGTGTAAACAATAATAAATAAACAATAATTACCAACAATTTGTCAGTCGATTACCAAGAAATTCTATCAGCTCACTTTTTTCTTAAGTCTGTAATGTCTAATACAAAAAAGACAATCTAGTTCCGAGATAATAACTTTATCAAATTGTTGGATGTCGTTGGAAGTTGATTTATACCTTATTAATCAATAATATCAGAGGGGATTTTGTGGATATTATAGTAATTTTAATAGTTGAGATCATGACTTAATTGAAGCTAGATCACCATGTAAAACCTGAAAGCACTGGATGACTGTTAGACATTAGCACCATTGGATGCCGGGTCAGTGGTCTAGTGGTTAAGTGTTCGCGCACGAGTCCGATAGATCCTGGGTTCGAATCTCGCGAGGCGGGATCGTGAATGAGCACTGCTGAGGAGTCCCACAATAGGAGGAAACGGCCATCTAGTGCTTTCAGGTTTTCCATGGTGGTCTAGCTTCAATTAACTCATGATCTCAACTATTAAAATTATCAATAAGAAAACCGTTTTTGTACAAATTTATGGTACTTTCCATTGGGAATAAAAATTGACTTAAAGATTACTGAAAATCAAACAACAACCGCCCGAGATTTCTACTAGTCCTTTCATAATAACATTCAAATTCTTAATGATAACTAAATAAATAAATTAGCGTTAAGATTCTATATAAACTGAAGATTCTCATTCGGTATACATGATTATCATTGTAAAGACAACTGTAATCACATATCATTGAAAAGATTTTCAGAAAAACAAACAAATTGGTTATCATAACTAGAGAATAATTAACTCGTACAGATAGATACAAGTTAAGTATTTAGGCTATGATGAAATATAATGTACACTACATGTACATATGAAGAACATTATTTTAACATGGATACATCCATAAAATTACATATTTATACAAATGTAATCAGATTGAAGAAAAATATAGTTCTTCATAATGATAACTGAATAATAAACATGAGTTGTTAAAGGATAATAGTAATAACTGATTATAGTTTAAAATTACAAAACATTAATTTATAAAGCAAAAAAAAGAACAAACCAAAACATACTACAGAAGGAAATTAGGGCCAAGAAAGAATGAGAGGTTGGACGTATAGTTTTCACACCCAATTTCGGCTTGAATAGTTGGATCGTCAATGCTTTAACAGTTTTTGATTCTACCATCTTTTGATCTAGTTCCTTTGATTGTTTAGGTTATTTTAAATGAAGACTATTTCAGAGTGACGTGTTCAGAGTTGATTAGATGTTCCTGTATTGAACTGGTAACTGTTCTGCACTCTCCTTTTAAAAGCCATGCTGGGTAGTGTTCTGAGATGCGTCTAGAAAGTGATCGTTCTGTGTGACCAATGTAACTTGCCCCATAAGACCAAGTAAATTTGTAGATGCACATTCATGTGGTCCAAAGCAGAAGTTTATCCTCAACGCATCCGTGAATGGTGGGTCGGCTTGCTAAGACAATGAGGAACTTAGCTGAGTAGAAGGTTCTATTCGGGGACTTTGAAATCCGTTTATTCAAGATTTCAGCAGCCGTATCTCCCTTAAATTCGATATTCATAAAAAGTTTTCTTTCGAACTGTTGGCGCTTTTCAGGATGTTGTCTAGGTCTTAGGTTCCTATCGACGAATGTAGGTGGATAACCATTTCTGATGAGCATCTGCGGAGTTGAAGTAGTTCGTTATCTATTGTGTCATTAGAACACATTCGCCTAATCCTCGAGGATAAAAAGTAAATTAAGTTTCTCATTCTACGCAATTGAACCCAGTTACGAAAATTACTATACTGCCCATTTCAAACCGGTTTTCTATATATAGATCTCTGTAAAGAATCATCTGACCTTCTTTTCAACCAGACAAAAAGGAAATAAAATACCTCGTCCGCCTCTGCTTCCAACGTGAATTGAATTGAGTGATAACAATTACTGAAATGACTCAAAATTTGATTGACACTCATATCTTCTTCACAAATAATGAAACTATCATTCATATATCTCTGCTAAGGCATTGGCGATCCACCTATTCAAGCCCAAACTCTACATGAAAAAACGATACGTTCAACCTCTCATTCTTTCTTGGCCCTAAATTCCCTTCTGTAGTATATTTTGTTTTGTTCTTGTTTTTTAAATTATTGTTTTGTAATTTTAAACCCTAACCAGTTATCATTATCTTCTAATTTTCCAATTGAGTAATATTTCATTATCTGAATTGATATAACATTAATTAACAATTACCTTCATTCCAATAATCATAGGATTTATTCCATCAAATGGTATCATACGAGTTGTTAATTCCCAGAGTATAACACCAAAACTCCACATATCTGAAGCTTCAAGATTTATTTCGCTTGCTTTTTTTGTAAAGCTATACAGTTTTTTAAGAGACAAAAAAGATACCGTAAATACGAACACAAATTATGAAAGAGAGAAGACATTTTAAACACAATACATTGAGTTGTTATTAGAAGAAAGGAAGATTAGATGAGTGATACCATTGTATGAACAAGTTAATGTCCTAAACTATGAGTCACATCCTTTTGTATCGTAGACAATAGTTATGAACTTAAATTACTAAACATACTAATTTATAGTAACACATATAGAAATGTATACGTATTCAGACAATAATAGGACTGAGTACAAATATGACCAATGAAATCTAAAGCTAATTATCAAAAGCTCTATGACACATTTGAGATTTACTAATGGATTCGATACACAACTCTATCAGAAAGTGAGTAATGCTGTGGTTAAGCATAGGTTTTAAGGTACAAATAATCTGATAACCTTTGTCTTTTCATTGCATTATCGAAATTTATCAAAGGGATGAATTTTTTAAATTTTACAAATAGTAAGTTGATTGATGAGGTTATGCAGTCAATCAGCTTAAATGGTTTGGATATATGCTACGCATCTTTTAGACACTGTCTAACTTAACGCACAGTGCTGGTTAGTAGAAGAGTAAGTTGGGAAAAAGCTAAGATTAACGAGATAAAGATACATATCGGTCCATAAAGTTATCAATTGCCGGACTGATCTGTAAGATGAGACCATAGTTTATGAACGACCTTTGAGCGATGCTAAAGTGACCTGGAGAAAAGTCACCTACCCACTAGGGTCAAACGAAAATTATAAGTTAGTGCGAGCAACGACGATTAGGATTAACAGTTAAAAGTCAGGTTTAGGAATTAGAGTTAAGGTTTTCATTGAGAACTGGCATCAGCTATAATGCCCAGATTCTATTTAACCATATGGATGGATGAATTTCGCCTCAAAATCAAATACTTGCTACCTTTGATTTCATCGATTCGCTAAAATTCATATCCTCTCCATCCATAACCAGCAGGTACAACCTTCTAGGTTACATACTGGATAATCATAACGTCTGGTTGAAGACATTTCTTGAAATGGCGCAAGATTTGAGATTATTTTGCATGAGGTGTCGATTACACAGTGAAATGTTCTAGTAAACGAACCACTTTCATCTACAATCACACTTCAGTGGGAGAATTTTATTGAGATTCATGAACACCATATCAATAATTATCATGTGTTCACTAATGACGAGTTTAAAAAAAATTTCCGGAGTTTTAATGGGTAGCTGTAAGTAGCGAAGTTCAAGCATGTCGAGTGTAAGAAAGATACACACCGAAAACAACAGAAGACAGTCACTCAACACTTTCGATTGATTGAAATTATACTTGGAAACTATTAGATTTTGCCTTAATGTTTTAAAGACCAAGCGTTCGTGTGAAATCGACTCCTTAGGGCGGAGTCGTAAACGCAAACTGGTTGAAGAATCCTATAATAGGACGAAACATGACTAGAGCTTCTAGGTTTCTAATAGTTGACTAATATCGTTTCGTAATATCAATAATATATAATGTTTATTACACATACATTCAGGTGACATCCAAGCCGGATTGTATTCTCGAGCTTTTTCATGAAATGAAAATTTGTAATCTGCCATATCTAAACGAGCAATTAACGATTCATCAGGTATAATTGACTGTTGTATATTCTGTCCATGTGCAACAGTATCAACTGTATCCCAAACACCAATTTTAGCAATATCTTCGTCTACCTAAATTACAATAAAAAAAAATATATTTACAAGTAATTTTTGTAAAGTTAAACTTTTTAAAAATTCAATGGTAAATATCATATTTGCATAGATTAGATTGAGTCTGTCTGCTGTATACCACTGTAAGATGAAAAATCAGCTAATATACATGATGAATTTTCAGTATTGTACACAAAAGAAATATACAGTCAATATAATGAAAAGTACATACAGATTAGTTTATAAATTACCATTAGGATATGCTTTATCTTAGGTTCACATCGATAAGTATACGCACTTGCAATTAATAATCATTGATAAAACAAAACAAGTTTAATTAGTGATCATTAACTAACTTGATATTGAAATGTTTACTGATCATCATTGTCTAAGCTCAGGGAATAAGTTATACTAGATAATAAAAATATTTTGAATAATATATACACAATAATGTGTTCTAATAGTTAGTCACTGAAATCAAACACTGTTAACTGAAGTGCAGTTATACAACATTTATCAACATGAAACAATTACAAGGATTGTTTATATAGCACAAAGACAATAGGTCAGTTCGATTTGCCATATTTCAAAACAACACAGAAAAGAAAATTATCAATAATGTTAAAATAAAAAATAAATGTTTAAGGATATATGAAAAAGTAGATACTGTGGCAAGCCCATTTGGCCACTGTATCATTTGTCTATTCATTGTAACTCAGACACTTAATTCATCATGTTAATTTCTGTGTGCATTTCAGACTCTTAATTCACTATGTTAATTTCGGTGTGTATGATCGAATGCATGTCTGTACATTAACCCTTAAGCTATCCTCCTATTGGTTGCAATGTGCAGATAATCGATAATTTATCCACACCCGATTAACCCTCAAAAATATATATGGATTTTTAACACACATACACACACTCACTCACTTTGTCTCATCGTGTGCTTGCTCGCTGTACGCTTGCTGATTATTATTAATCATTAACAATAAATTATCTCTATAAATGGTGTTCAGGCTTCTCAATAATCTCGAGTAAATCCGTAATTCTACTAGGAGATTAAGCCTACCTAAAATACTCAGTTAACGGGATATTATTTATTGGAGTCAGATATAGAGGACATTAGCCTCAACATATTGGTTAGCCGCCGTTGCAACAATACAAAGTAACGATTCGAAATGAAAAAAAATTGAAGGCTTATGAGCTACTAGGTTCAACCATCAGGCTCTACAATCATTGATTTTTAACACAATGAAATTAAACAAGCAGGTTTATATCTTTCTCCGCATAATTCAGATTAACAGCAAATGCCTTTCTAGACTGTTCGATAACACTTAATCTTTTCTAGTTTCCTACTTACAACAGTTAACCTTTTACTTCGAAGTCGATAATACTACAAATATATGGATTAAATATTCCGAAAGTAATAGTTAGGAGATTTAGAATTTAATTGTTCGAGTCTGTTTAGTTATTTTATCAAAGTTGCAAACTAACAGACATGAATATCTACCAATATAAAATATTTCTTGCCAAAAACTACCTAAATACATCGACTAATCACAAAAAAGTGTATGGTACGAGGAAACAATCTTTTTAAACTATTCCACAAATGGATTATGAAATTAACATAATAAATAGTAAAGAAGTTGTAATAATGGGAGTGTAGAGGCTAATTTCCCCTATATCTGACTCCAAAAAATTGTATCTCGTTAACTGAGTATTTAATGCAGGCTAAATCTCCTAGTAGAATTACGGATTTACTCGAGATTATTCAAAAACATGAACACCAGTTATCGAGACAGTTTATTGTTAAAGATTGGTAAAATACGTAAGCGTACACGAAGCAAGCACACAGGGAAACCAAGTGTGGGTTAAAAATCAATATATATTTATGTGGTAAGTATGGATAAATTATTGATTGTCTGTCTATTACAACCAATGACGGAATAGATTAAAAACTGACATGTGCTCAATCAGACTCACACAGAAAATTACATAGTGGATTAGGTGTCAAAATTACAATGAGCAGATAAATAATACAGTAGTTGAATGGAATTACTACAGGAGTATCAATGATGGTGGAAAAGATCAAAAATTAAGAATATGGTTCAAGAAGACAGAATGGAAAAGTATGTATGAAATATAGTGGAAATTAAGACCTAGAAGATCGTGAAGATTAATTCCATCTGGGTAACCGTGACTGATTCAGAACCACATCACCAAACGTCTCCGCTACTGATTATAGTTATTAAGAAGACCCTAAAGAGGTAGTCTGAGTCTACCGGCATGATTTCGACCAAACGTTTATGAATTCATGAACTGATACCACGTTAAATTACTGCAGTCTATTCATTTATTTTAACAATTACAAACCTAATTCATTCGTCAATTCATAATCTATAAAATAGACAGTTACTGGTTGCTCACATCGTAGAAAGATAATACTTTTCTGTGGAGCATGATAAAGAAATAATACTTTAAAAAACTGTAACACTGTAGTTACATACATATTCTAACAATAAAGCTGAGTTACACATATTGTGTAGTATGTGGAGCGATGGAACAGTAATTAAAACATCCGACTTTTAATCATGAATTCCCAGATACAAACTCCGCACTCCACCTTCTTTGGTTTAGAAGACAAGGTATTATTACTTGTCTTTATACGTGAAAGCAAAGTATATGAGCCATTACCTAGTAAATTAGTTATTTAAGAAAAACTGTGTAACAAACTAAGAGTTGGAAGAAAGTTAGGGGTGGCCAAACAAAAACGTGGCATCAGTGCTTGAAGTCACTAACTTTTAGTTTGAGCCATGTTGAAAGATGCAGACTACATGGCTGGGGTCCGCGTGACTATCGTAACCAATGGTTGGAGACTCTTGGTGACATGGCTCAGAATCGATCACAACGGCGTCGGTGTATACACTCCCTGTCTTCCCTTAAACTAAGAGATTAAAATCGCTTCATATCTTTCTTTCTACCAACTAATTCTTTCTTCCTGTACTATATCCTTATATGCAATCTTTCTTTTATATATTACCCCCTCTGAATTAACTACTTTTATGAATGCGGTGTCCATCTTTTTGTGTTAATGAGGTATGGCAACTTGGACCGATGCATAAATGTGCCTGGTCCTACGTTATAGCTAACTGACTAACTGAAACTAAGAGTTATCAAAGAAATAAATTAAGAGTTGAAAGACTGTAAAAAAATGATCAAGACAAAAAACCTATAATAAGTGAAAAATTTCTTTTTGTCTAATAAAAAGTATGAACAACATAATAGAACGAAAGATGAAATCACTTTATAATAAATATAATTTTATTCTATCTCAATAAGTAGGAAAAATTATATTTCTAACGTTTTGTGACTTAATCTAAGCCACATATCTTCAGAGTAAATAAATAACTGAAATTCAATTACCATAAGTACAAAAGATATAATAAAAATATATTTATTATTAACTTTCTTATATCAATGCTTAAATTTAATCTTGGTATTAATACCTGTGTAATCACTTTATTATGATGTACTTCAACTTTGTCAAATATACACTAACATTTTGAAATAGATCATTTTACAAACTTGATTTTATGTACAGGAAATCAAACATGATTTCATTTTTAACAATTATTTATTTGGTAAATAAAGAATGAACGAATTGTTTAACACATAGATATTGGTACAAGGAGGCACCGAATACATATGCGCCACACAAATCTCATTCCATATGTGTGAGGGCTGTGATACTGCCCGGGTGCTCAAGCCGAAGCAAGTGGTTTTCTTAGGGGGCCACACCCGGAGCCTTCGACCTAAAGGTCTGATCCACAAAGCAGTGGAGCGACGTAGCCGGTGACCAATAATTGGTTCATACGCCATTTGTTCCTTTAGGATACCGGAGCCCATGTGCACCATTGGTTTGAAATCAGGGTTTTACAACTCCCCTAGGTGGACTCTCCATGTCCACCAACCCGGTTAAAGCGCCGGACATTCGCTTTTCGTCCTCTCAATTTCGTAAACAACACCGCCGCCACGAGAAGACAGTGAGTCGGACTTCCCTAGTAGAGGCTATTTCTAACAAAAATACAATCATATGCATGGAATTCTTTTTTTTTTAATTAAGACAGTTTTCAACATTCTAAGAATAATCTTTTTTTCTAAGGCGTGAACATGTTAAATTTATGTGTAATTTTACCTTAGAAACAAAGTAGCTATTACTAAAGATTCTTAATTAATACACAAGTAGAGATTAAAACAATTAGAGGTTAACAATGAGTACAACAATATACGTCTTATATAAAGATAAGTAGATTAATATGTGTATACGGAAATGAGCATTGATTTATTCTTACAATTAATGAATAATACTGTTCTATTCACATTATCATATATTTTCAAAGAGAAGTGTGTGAATAAAAAGATAATAATAGGTTATGCTACCACTAGTGTGTACCTTACATTATGGCTGATAGATTACTAATTTTATAGATTTTCTTAAAGAAGAAGAAAGGTAAGCAAATAATTTAGAACGGTAGTAGTATGATGTGTGCTACAGCTGTCGACAGATATAAGTAGTATGTATTACTAATCGAATGTGAAATGACTGGCGGCGGAAAGTTAAGAAAATCGAAGAGAACTGGACGAGGACAGAGAGTGATTGGTGTGGAAATGAAGGTACAATCAAGTGTGAGACAATTGATTGAAATTTTGCAAATGAAGTAATTAATGTATGGTTCTCAGATTTTAGTAAAAGATTCTGTAATTTTATAGTCAGATATATTTGGTTGTCCCCACTAGTGTTTTCGTTCACTTAAGTGGTAGTAGTCAATATCAGTTGGTGATATAAAAAGAACTTACATGAACAATCTAAGTAGATTAGGGGGTAAAAACCGCCACTGAATATGACTTTTCATGAAGTAGATAGATTTGTAGAGGTGTATAAACGAATAGAATGAAATGACTTCGATACCAGATTTCATTTTCCTAAACTGAATACTATAATTGTGACATTTTCATTAGCTTAGGTTTTGGATATCATCGACATGAACCTTAATTAGAAGTTATTGGAATTTTTCCATTAATAACTAACAGCGAAATGGAATGAGATCAGTTTTACAGAGTAATTGGGACATAACGATTTGCATAGATATATTTAGATCGTTTTTCTTACCTGACACAATTAGCGTGCTCTTAAAAATTCTATCATCTTTTTTTTGTTGAGTATGTTCAAGGTCATAGTTTTCACAGTCAACATTGTATACTTAATTGTCCATATGCACTGATATAAGCTTGCAAAATATAATACATAAAACAAATTACAGGAATTGTAATGTGCCATATCCAACAAAATGATTTCTGTCTTTGCTTAATTGTCTATCAATTGTGATGACATGTCTTCGTTTATATCAATACAATGTGGACAATTTTGGGCACAATTTTAACTGCGGACAAATGCATAAGGATAATGACTGAAAAATACGGTGAGAAAAGCATTTCGGACAACACGATGTTAACCAGATAAGCTACAGTACTCAACTTCTCCAATTATCTATCAATTTGCATTTTATTACAAACAAATACCGAAGACTTGCTCTCAGTTTGAGACTGCTGACCCAATGAATTCATGGATTTTTTATTGAAACTATAAAGGAACTTGACGTGAAACCAACGTTTACCAATCTAATTAGAAAACTGAAGAAAATTTCTAGTCTAGTTTTCACATAAAATGAATAGAAAAATGAACGATGTTTGAGGTTTCAAATTAACTGAATATTCGATGACTTCCGGATTTCATCATTATGTGTAGATGAACCATAGTATCTGTACATCCTAATCGTGTTTGTTTAATATTACAAATTTTACATAAGCGTGATATATGATTGAATAGAAGTTATATGGGATGATTTGCAGCTCAGGATGAGGTGTTGTGGTCTCTGAGCTGGATGAATTGGTTGTAAAGCTTTCATCGTTCTTTCGCACAAAATCATCAGCGCGTACTTTGAAGAGAAGTGGGCTATTAGAATTTCCTAACAATTGACTAATAGTTTGTTTCGTTGACCTGAAATTTCGTTAGTTACATAATTCTCTGGTCAATTATGCAGTTTTTTTGTATTTCGTAGGGGAATGCTTCAATAATTGAGTTGTTGTGTACGTTTATCACCTCTTTACGATCCGCATATATTTGTACACGCTTCAGTATGCAAATACTGCATTATAACACAATCGCAATGTGTAGTAAATACAGTGACAATGTTAATTAGCATTAATCGATTTATCTAGGTTTTTTTTTGTTGCTTAACGAAATTTGACAGTTACATTTATTGTTAAACACATAGTAAATTCGTGATGGTGATACACTAATGAAATAAGTCGTGTTAATAATAGGTTTTAGAATATAAAATTACTACAATATAAGAATATTGTTGTGCCAAAATTATTTCTATTGTTTACAATACACCCCATTTTAAACAAACGATATCTTTCTACTATACATATATAAGTTTAGTGCTTACTGATAAGTTTGAAGAATAAAGGCATTAATAGAAAAAGAATACTAGGTATATGGGGTAAGTAATAATAACTAACTCAAAAATATTTATTTATACATTCCTTCGTGTTATAAGTGAACGTCTGCTGACCTTCTTATGAAGCCAGCAAAAACTTAAAGATATGATAAACTTCATCTTTTGGAATAAAAATAAGAATTATTATGCAGTCTGTCCTTGAATGTATGTTGATGATTGGAGGTAGTTGGTAGGAAACTGGATTTCAGTTTCATACTAGTTAGCGTTAATCAAGTAGGGAGTCCTTAAAATCGTAGGGGAAATGATGGTCTTCGTGGAGTTTGAACCTAGCGCTACCAAGATTCATAGTCTGAGATGATACCGCCAAGTTATCTTGGCAGCGACTGACACAATGATGGACTGAGTTAGTTACAATAGACTAACCATTGTGTAGTGCCTAATATCATGTCTGCCTAGTTCTTATAAGTACTGTTCAGATCCTATCGAGTACGTTGCGATACGGTCACTAATCAAATACACTATGTTGAGATGTTGGCTAGCTAGAGGTAATCAGAACGAAACCATGAGCCAAGGTTGCTTGAATTCCTGACCAAAAACGAAATAATTCGGTTTATTGAGTGGTGTTGTGGAGAAATAGAAAAAGAGAGAAAACGATATTCTATGTTGATATAAAAATAACAGGAATTATACGAGATGAAATCCATATAAGAAAATAACTAGAGTAGATATTCTGTCAAATATGCATCACATCATGATCATAAACTATGCAATAAGATACTGATTTCAAATCTGAAACAGACTTAATGTCTCAAACTATTGGGTTGCATAACATTCATGAATCAACTAAGCGAATTGAGATGAAACAATAAATAAAAACTGGATATACGAGTTCTTTTTTACTTCAAGGAGTCATGAGATATAAGAATCATCTCTCTGACTGTGTTATAAAATAATGTTTGCTATAGAAGCTAGTTGGTATCCAAACAATCATATATGACCTTATTTATAATCTATATATGTATATATACAATTTCATACCCACTACTTCATATTACAAATGCATACAGTTTCCATATACACATTCTGACGCACAAATTAATACAGTGACAGGTTATACAAATTCACCTTGACGAAGAATAACTTGATATTAAGACCTATTATGATTTTGATTCTGCATTTTTTTTTTGTACCATTTAGACGTGTTAATTTAATTTGGTTATTTATTTATGCTGAAGTGGTTTACATTTTCACGAAACTACAGAAATACAATTCATTATTAACTATCTACCCAATGTTCAATTTGAATCTTGGCACTAATACCAACAACTAAATTATTTTTAGATATCTAGTAAAATTAACTAATTTCGTCAAATTTATGATGAACAGAATGCACTGATGCTTTGTATAAAAACAGTATTCATAACACGAAATATTACTAAATAATAATAAGTAACATAAGTATAAATTAGTAAACAGTAAATGATAGGTTATCTTAAACGAATTTCGATAAAAAACAATGATAGCACCTACCATTACATGTTTGGAGTTCAAACGAAAATTGGGAACTTTTAATTCTGGTGAATGTAGAAACTCCATACCTTTGGCTATGTCAACAGCGAATCGTAAAGCTTGTCGATGACTTATCTCAGTTGTACCGTGTATATTGGCTTCAGCTGGTTGGTGTAAAACATCAAAAAGACTTCCATATTGCATAAAGTCACTGACGAGGCATAAACGTGGCGTGGCAGTAAAAATAGCCAATACTGGCAGTATATTGGGATGATTAAAGATGCGAAGTTTCGGGAATTCATCCTTGAAATCACGTGCCTATGAATTTTGTAGATGGAAGGTGTAAAAAATATGATATTATACATAAAATTATATAACACACCTTATAACTCTTATCCATAACAGTGGATTCTTGTCTGTCCTACCACAAACACGTTGAACCTATTGACAGTGTAATATAAATAAGCAAAAGACTTACTCGTTAACAGTCTGAACATAGGAAAGAAGAGACGTTCAATACTTAGCAATCCCTAGTAGGTTCTATATCTAAAAGGAGATGTGGACTGAGAGTAATTTAGTTAAATTTTCATCCGGAGATAGGTTAAATTTACACTGAAGTAATAACTGGATAACAACATTGAAAAATGTCCTGAATCAGATAAAGTACGCTGAAAGTATAATTTCCATTTCATACCATCCTATTTCCATTCTATTTGAATAAAAGAATTTTTATGCAAATCTTGAACTCTTTGAGCATTGTATAGTCAACTCTTTCAATTTTTAAACTTTGCTAGAAAAAGCAAGATACCTAGTTAGGATCAGCGAGATAACCGCAATCAGTGGGTGGAGATGTTGGATGACGTGGCTCGGAGTTGTTTACAATTGCAAAGATCCGTTTGCTCTTTTTCTACTTCTTGAGTTCTAGCATTTCTTTGGATATACCTTTCCATTGTAGTGGCTGGTCCTATGTCGAGCCCTTATAACTTATTCTAACTTCTGGACAAACCAACTTATTCATTCCCCTCAAGTTACATTTTGACCTTTTTAATTATTCACTTGTCAACCTTGAATGTCTTTATGTAAGCGTATGTGTGTGTTTCATAACTTACTCATCAATTAACGCTTGATTAAATTGAGTTGGCTCACTCGCCTTGTCCACTGCGCGTCATTTCTCTTCGCTCTCTTCCTTTCGCTACTTCGATCGTTTGTCTGGATCAACGATTGTACAAAATATACCTATTCAAAATCCGTTTTCGCATTTTATCTAATCCCGTTATTCACTAATGCGATTTAGGTCGAAAATAATTTGCGAGGATTGGCGATATGTATATTTCAATGACAATCATCATACGATCCGAATGGAGTCAGATCCAGGGGCACTAAACCATCCTATCCCTTTAAACCATATTTTTAATACTTAGTATTTCTCGTCATAATTGATATACTACAATATCTCGATTTCTTCAGCTATTCACTATGTCAATTTCATCTCGTTGTGCTTATACGGTATGGGAACTTGAGCCAACACACATATGTACAAGGCTCTACGTTGATAATGACTGACTGAATTACACTCAAAGAGCTAGGAGTCATTGTCTTGATTCTGATAAGTTCATTTGTCACACTATAAATTCAATACAAAATGAACTGACTTTAGCATTGAATAGCTCTATTTAGAATTGAATTGCGATTACTGAGATTCCCAAAAAACGTTTAGCGTATCATTACGGCTTGTACAACCTCAAAATGGAAATGGAAATTTCAGGATGCATGAAATGAATCAAGTTGTGAAGCTGAATGTGGTTGAAACGAATATATATATATATATATATATATATATATATATATATATATAATTTGGGAATGATTGAAGCAGAATTTATAAGGAAATGAAATCACTAAACTTTCTTTAAATCGTGGAAAGAAATGTAGGGATTTGTATGCCATGAACCGGATGGTTTATTTATAAAACTTCCACTGCCTTTGTTTATAGAATACTTAGTTTCTGTTGCATAAGAATTCACTTTAATTTCAAGCGGACTGATAGTGATGATATCTACCGTTCATCAAACGCAAAACCACTAAAGCTGTTTAACTGAGCTATAAAGCCATATCATTTCAAGTTAAATTACTTTGAACAGAGATGAACGGATACAAGTTTAAAGTAGAAGGTAAAATATGAACAAAATTGGTTATGGATTTAACAGAACACAAAGAAGCAAAATATAAAAGATGACTGAAAGTATGAATCTCTGGGAAAAAGTAATAGCCTAACCTGTCTTGTTGAACAATTTCGTAGTTTTAACATTTTTACAACTACAGGACACCGTCTAAATGAACCTTTCAGTACCTCAGCACCATGACCATCAGCTAAGGCACCTGTTAATTCAACTTCTCGAGGATCCCATGATTCACCTTCAAGACGATATAAAGTAGCATCTCGTGCTCGTGTTTTTGTACCAATCCAGCTTGTATCACGAAAAGGTCGACGATGAGATAAATCGTGTCCTAAAGCTTGTGCTAATGGAGCAATTAATGCCGCAGCACGTGGACGAATTAGCTCTAATGGAGTTTCACCATATTTATTTTCTTGCATAAGACATGCTCCATTTTTAATCAAATACTGCAAAAAAAGGACGATAACGTGCAGTATATGTTACAATGATAGGATATATACATACAATCTTTCAAGAAAGATGAATATTCATGGATAATATTTTCTACCATCCAAAGGTATGGAATCTAAAAAAATATATAAGAGCCAGCATAACTTTCCATTATTAATGAAGATTTCCCAATTAAAATTGGTTACTTATCTCCTTCGCTAATTATTAAAATTCTTGATAGAGCCGTTGAATGAAATGAATTAGTATCGGAAATAATCAATAGTTAGTGAATACTGACAAGGATGAAGCTAAATGAACCAACTTTTCACGATCGATAATTGATTCGTACCGTAAACATTATAATAATTCATTCACGACAGTAGAGATTCGTGTTGTACAGTGAGGTATCTCATTACATGAAGAACTAATGAGAAATTAAAGGATGAGAGTCAAAAGTTGAATGAACTATGGAATAAATTGTACGAGTTTTCATCAAATCAATTAGAATGCGAACAAGAATTACTTAATGAATGTATGGTTCTATTGTTTGGATGAATAAATATATTCATACGAAGTCACTGTAACCTTACATAACTATAGCGAAACGATAGATGGTCATGTTTGCATTCTTAAAAAATTCGCCCATTTGTTTTGAGCTTCCTCATTGTTATTAAAGAACATGTATCGATTGGCTAATTGCACATTTTATTCTTTAATGTCATACAAACCCAAGAATAATTTATTTGTATTGGTTGTTTGAATCTTCCTATTGATGTTTAGGACTGCAACTGATCAGTCTCTTTTTGGCACCATTCATCTCTGCTAATAATGGTTGTGACTTAAGGTAATTTCGAGGCATTCCGCACAGAATGCACAAATATCAGTAAGAGACTGGTCAATTGCAGTCCTAAATAGTAATGGAAAGACCTAAACAACCAATAGAAATGAATTAAGCTTCACCTCGTTGCACAATTTTGTGGCTATCTGAACTCAGTAGCCAAGTGGATAACGCAATGCCATTTAGACAGAACGATACTTGGTTAGAGTCCCGAAGTGAACCATCATCTCTAGGATACATCCAGTTGACGAGTCCTAGATAAAACCAAACAGGCTTCTTGGATTCCACTGCTAACCATTATACATCTCTGCCTGTAAACCTAAGGACAATATACTAAATATAAACCTCGGTAGTTCAAAAACATTTCGACCTCACGGTTTAGTGCTTACAGCAATGAACCACAGTTTTTCTCGTGTAAGTAAATCATAATATACGAAATTTTAAAACTAGACATTAATTAATAAACTGATAGAATCTGCAAAATTATAAAAAAATATTTCTTCTTGAATGAATGCAGAATGTAATAATAATAATAGACTGATAACATGTTATATTCAATTCAGACTACTAACTAGTATATTATAAATTAGTTTCTTAAACCTTTTAACTAACCCACATGCATTATAATCGACTTTTTGAGAGTATGGGTATTTTTGTCGTGAATAATTATCATATTGATTTCCATGGTCACTATTTTGTTATTAGTATTTTTCCTATCATTATGTAAACAATATTTCTACATTGCAAATTGATATTTTTTCAACATTTTTACCTCTACTATTTTTTTTCTTACTAAATCAAATTTGTTTGTTTTCCACTTCATAGTATTGTTGTCATCGTTGTTGTTGGTCTGTTTACTGTGACAGTGTCTTTTTTTAATGATACGGTCAATTAAATTACTTTTATTGTTTGTTTATTACTTGGAATTAAAGAATCGTTTCAGCGTTCAGTTACATATTTACGATTTCATTTTACTACCAAGATTTATCTGACTCCTTGGTATTGTCACCTGCTACTTAGTAGGTGTTAGATTCACACTAAATATTATAAATACAATGGCAACAACAGTTAACTCTCAAAGCCGATAGGCACATAAGTGACCAGTTCAGTAAAGCTAGATAGATAAAGTGTATCAACCAATAAGAGAAAAGCTAGTTTACAATTGGCCAGTGAAATTAAAGGGCGAAATTATGCGACTAAACGATTAAATACTTATGAGTAATACAATTATAACAATTGAATTTCACAGCATGTCCGTTGCATCATGGAATGAATCGACTTTGCAATCTGAATTTGTATTTGCTGATTAAACATGGAAAAGCTAAAACCAATTAATACCTTAGTAGGATTTACAGATGTCGTTCTCTAGGTGACCTAATTCCTTTGTATAACATCATATAATCCGTGTGTCTTATTTTTAAAATGGGACATCCTTAACGCCCGAACCCCAATGGAGCACTACTAGAGTTGCTTCATGTCTCTAGCCTGAACAAAAGAGGAAGGTTGGGCACGGGGTCAACAATCCTATCCCGTAAAAAACGAATTTGCTACGAACAAACTTAACCAAAATTAGTAATTTCAAACCCTTTGAACTCTGTCCTGGGAGTTAAATGATATTCATTTAGGATAGTCGTGATGCTTCATGGTGAACGTCGATATTTTTCCAAAACCCAGAGGCCGATGACCTTTCTATAAACTAGCGCAACAATCAATATATGTCACAGACAAGACTGTCTGCTCTCGTCTTTCTTCTTCCTTCTGGTGGTTGACTGGATTATGAAAATCTTCGCATCTCAAGTGAAACACATAATACAGTGGATAGCTTGGATGCAACTAGATGATTTAGACTTCACAGATGACCACTGTAACACCAGTATTTGCAGCAGTAAACCACAACATACACAAGGGAAAAGCAAGATACTCAAATACAACACAGTCAATACAAACTCAATCACACTTGATGCAGAGGCACTGGAAGAGGTGAAGAATTCATGTATCTGGGCAGCATCATGGATAAATAAGGAGGATCTGATACAGATGAAAACGTAAGGGTCGGAAAAGCGAGGGCAACATATCAAACTCAAAACAACTGTCAGTCAACATCAACGTCGGAATATTCAATACAAATGTCAAGACAGTTCTCATGTACGGAGCCGAAACTTCGAAAACCACTACAACCATCATAAAAAATTACACGTATCTATAAACAATCGCCTACACAATCCGTTGGTCGGAAACCACCAGCAACAACCTACTGTGAGAGAGAACAAACCAACTTCCAACTGAAGAAGAAATTAGAAAAAGACACTGGAATTGAATAGGACATATATTGAGGAAATCGTCAGACTGCATCACGAGTCATGTCCTAACTAGAAGTAGTGAATGGAAAAGGAAAAGAAGGCCCAAGAACACATTGAGTCGGGGATTCGAGGCAGATATCAAAAGAATGGATAGTACTTGGAAATAAGTATGGAGGAGAGTCCAGGACAGAACTGGTTAGAAAATCCTGATGGGTGGTCTATGCCCCTCCATCGGGGGTAACAGGTGTACGTAATTAAGTTTCGATAAAACAGTTCCTCGTAAATTCAAACTTTCAGGTTATGGGTTAACTATAGCTGAACGACTAAAAATTGGATACAGCGTCACAATATATTTTTTGCTACTATCTAATTTCATTAATTTTAATCCAATTTTTAACCTTTTAATACTGTGGTATTTGTTTACTAAGTAGCAGTTCTCGTTTTCGGATTCAAGCCACAAAATTTTGTGGCTTAGAGATTAAAGTGACCAAACTGCAGTCCAATGAACGACACCTTAGGATTCTGTTCTTATTTTGAGCAACTGGCCAGTCACACGCCATGTACAACCATGTACAACGTTAGGCATCGAAGATATGATTAGGTAAGATATTAACTAGTCGGATACTTTTAGAAAATTATGAGGAATCAATAAACCTAGGATCAAAGGGAAGACCTCTACTAGAGATGCTCTTGGGCAACCGGATTACTAAGCACCACTAAAAAATACGAGAGAATTCTAACTCAGTGAATTAAACTCAAAATTCACACTTCACAGGAAATTTCTCGTGATGCGACTCCGAATCGGGATAACCTAACTAAGTCTGTCTACTTTAAGTAGTGTGATTATTTAGGTTGAAAATATAAGCCGAACACACAAAAGAAGTAGTGATGCTAAATTATTGCAGGGCATAACGTGAACTAATCACACTTGTAAGAAGATGCAGTATCTTCTTGTTGATGTTCAGGACTTCATGGGATTAGTTTCTGTTGGCATGTCTACATCATGAGCTGTTCCCTTAATAAGTTCTATATATGCAGGTTTTGGTATATTTTGTGAATCGCTACTAGCAACGTAATCTAAACTCTTACAAATATATTCATACATCCTGAGTTAACGGTTACATAAGCACAGTGCCTTTGTGAATAGTGCGTTGCTGTTCAAGGCTATAAATAGCGGATTTGAGTCTCAGTGTGAGTATCATGACGTTAGGACACAAGTACAAAACGCACATCCTGGATTCAATTACTAGTGGAAATTCAAAAAATCTAGAAAACGAACCAATTGTGAAAACCAACAATGATGTCTTGCTGTTCACACTTAAATGAATGTGCCAGTGATATGATAGTTGGAAACCAACCGTTTAAGTTAATGCATTGTAGTTACACAAACAAGTATGCTACCATTTATGATATGACACTACTGATCATGTAATAAGATTTGTCTCTTAAATTAAGGTCTAGTTCACCTTTTATTTCTGAATGGATATATATCAGAGATGAAAGAAAAACAATTAAGTGTATGGTGATTCAAGTATAATCTTATGAAACAAAATATATACTCAAGTATAAAAATTTCCAGGATTTATTTCACATAAAATTTTAGCATAAATTAATAAATATGAATCACAAAACATTCGCTGAGAATGCACTAGATTCTATAAACCTTGTGTTTGTTACTTACATATACATGTCATGAACATAAAATCTTTAAATTATTCTTATACAAATGATATTTATAACTTGATACATTTTTGTTTAACTTCATCATAGACCTATTGATGGAAATAATATTCTCGTCTACTGAATTCTCGGGTATTGATCTCCTTCCAGGAGGTCCACTTATCGACTTAGAATAAGCAGATGACATAGTTCTGTTTGGTGAAAACGCTGATAAAATGCAGTCATTGGTAGCACTAAGCAACAATGCCAGAATGTTTGGAATGCGCTTCTCTCCCTCTAAATGCAAATCGTTGCTTCAGGACTGGTCTGCGTCAACACCTGAACTAAGGATAGGGAGTGAAGTAGTCGAACGCGTTGACAACTTCACTTATCTTGGAAGTCTGATCAGCCCTAATGGGTTGGTGTCTGACGAAATCTCAGCACGGATTCGAAAAGCTCGCTTGGCTTTTGCCAACTTACGTTACCTATGGCGAAGGCGAGATATCCGTCTATCAATAAAAGGACGAGTATACTGCGCGGCAGTCCGTTCTGTTTTAATTTACGGCAGCGAAACATGGCCATTAAGAGTAGAAGACACTCGTAAGCTATTAGTATTTGACCACAGATGCCTTAGAAATATTGCTGGCACCTGCTGGGATCACCGGGTAAGTAATAGTGAAGTTAGACGCAGGGTATTAGGAAATGATGGTAAATCAGTTGATGAGGTTGTGAATCTTCATCGACTGAGATGGTTGGGCCACGTGTTACGTATGCCCGAACACCGACTACTACGACGTGCAATGCTAACCGGTGTTCGGGATGGTTGGAAGAAAGTTAGGGGTGGCCAAACAAAAACGTGGCATCAGCGCTTGAAGTCACTAACTTCTAGTCTGAGTCATGTTGGTAGATGCAGACTACTTGGTTGGGGTCCGCGTGACTTTCGTAACCAATGGTTGGAGACTCTTGGTGACATGGCTCAGAATCGATCACAATGGCGTTGGTGTATACACTCTCTGTCTTCCCTTAAACCAAGAGATTAAAATCGCTTCACATCTTTCTTTCTACCAACTAATTCTTTCTTCCTGTACTATATCCTTATATGCAATCTTTCTTTTATATATTACCACCTCTGAATTAACTACTTTTATGAATGCGGTGTCCATCTTTTTGTGTTAATGAGGTATGGCAACTTGGATCGATGCACATATGTGCCTGGTCCTACGTTGTAGCTGACTGACTTATACATTCGTTATATGAACAGGATCGCTAAAACTAAGTTAACGGAACTGAATAAATGAATAACTTTCCATTTGATAGATTGCTAATTTAAGGTTTGGGAGTAACACAGACGAAATGTATGTAGAAATATATCGGTTACACATTTAAGATGCAGTATTTGGGGTAAGACTAATCCAGTACTATAACTTTCAACATCGACTAGGTAGATATAAAATCAACCACAAAGTAGTAAATTTTGAAGTATAACTGAAAAAATTGATGTTTGAAATAAACTGTTTAAAACGCCTGCATCTACAGTGATACAGGTTGACAAAAATTAACACTAAAATGCTGGATAATAGTTACATCCTATCTGCAAAGAGTTAAGGTGGGTGTGTCTTTACGTGTTGAGGTTCCAAATGAAAATTGAATTTAGCAGATAATAGAGCAGAAGTCAGAGTGAAACTGAGATCAATTCTTGCCTAAATACGTTCTATTCTCAACTAACTCAGAAACACTACAAAAATTTAAGCAGATAGGTTCATAAATTAAACAACAAGACTCACTTCAGCAATTTCTAAATGGTTCCAAAAACAAGCGTAGTGTAAAGCTGTATTACCATGTTCATTTGCAGCATCCACATTTAGTCGGTGAGAATTTAACAAATAGTGTACAACATCAAAATGTCCATGAGCTGTGGCTAAATGTAAAGCTGTATCATCACCCATATTTGTAGCGTTAATACGAGCTCCACGAATAACTAATAAATCAACTATATTTCTTTGTCCTTCACGTGCAGCCCAATGTAACAGGCTGAACCGATGTTCGTCGCCCTGATTTACATCGTTTTCTATATCATCTAACCATAATTTTACTTCATGAAGATTCCCTTCACGAACGTGAGCGATAATAGTTTCCATGAATTAAAAATGAAACAATACCGAAGCTCTGAAAGTAAACATTTTCACATTGGTCGAACAAGTACAATCAGATAAGTTGAAAAGTTGAACTCTAATTGATACGTGTATATTTAAAGAAATAATGTACAAAAAAATATTAATCATCTTTTTTTATAAGAGCATGGTTTCAAGTTTAGTTTCGGTAAACTGTGCACAAGCTCTGAGGAACAAGAAGATGCTTTGCGAAGAAGAGCACGAACAAAGTACGTATCGCTAGTTATCTCTGAAAATTGTTTAGCGAACCCATAACGCTTTAGTTTTTTCAAAAAATCATTGAATTTTCCATCAAATCTGCTAGTTACATCAACGATTATCAGAACACCACTAAAAAGAATTTGTAAACAAAAGATTACGTGAAGTTAATTCCAAGTAAAGAAATTTCATCAATCATTGAGTTCAACTAATGTGAAGAATAAGAATTAGTGATCATTTCATAAACCAAGCAGATTAGCCACAATGAAAAATTTTCAACTATATTCTTGTATACAAAACTCTATTTTAATTTTTGTTTATTATGCACTTATTTTTCGAAATCCCGAAGCAGAATGGTGAGTAAAATGTAACTTTGATCACGGGATTCCACCTGACCGCCTTCAGCAAGAAACATACACTTCCCAACACGAAGCAAATAAACAAATAGAGATAACCATTTTTGTCATACCTATGTGTTATATCACAGCTTTTAAACGAAAATAATAGGATTTCGAATAAAAAACTATTTTTTGTGCAGTCTCGTTATATTGCCGATACCCTTAAAACAAACAATCATGAAATGTTTTTAACTACGCATCATATGCCCAAAGAAAAACTGCTTTGAAAGCCAAATTATCTGTCATACGACATCCGGTTACTAGTGTAAAATTTTCCAGAAAGGTAAATAAAGCTTAACGAAAGTGAGAGATACTGGATATTGTGGGGTTCAACTCGACTAAAAGTGTCAAGGCTTGACATAATGATGAACTAGTGGTATAAGTCTGTTTTGCACAAATAGAAGATTTACTTTTTTGGTGTAACGTTCTTGATTACATCTGGACTATCAAGAAGATCATAACCAACTAGCTCCCAGAGCACTCAAATGTATTTGTGAAACAAATGTTATAAGATTATTATAATTATTTATTTATTTATTTAAACATAAATATCGGTACAAAAAAGCACCAAACAGATATGCGCCACACAAATTATTCGATTTGTGTGAGGGCTAGGATACTGCCAGGGTGCCCAAACCGCAGAAGGTGGTTTTCTTAAGGGGGACGCCCCGAGTCTTCGACCTAAATGTATAATACACAAGGCAGTGAAATAACGTCAGGAGATGCAGTCCCATGGTAGCCGGTAACCAACGATTGGTTCATACGCCATTTATTCCCTCAGGATCCTGGACCCCATGTACACTATTAGTTTAGAAAGTGTTTTTCAACTCCCCTAGTTGAATAATCTATACCCACCAACCCGGTTAAAGCACCTGATATTTGCTTTTCATTCTCTCAAATTCGTAAACAACACCCTCACCGCGAGAAGGCAGTGAGTAGGAATTCTTTGGCAATGGTTGTATGCATGTAGCCATGTGAAAGGATTTCGAGAGGGTGAGTTGACTCTCCCCACTTTCGGCCATACCATGGCATTTGGTGAAGATATAATTACGTTGCCAAATAGGTGTTCTTGTGTTCAGATTTTAGCCAAACCTAATGAAATAAGGGTTCTAATATTACTTGATAGCTGACAAAACTAAATAGGGTGAAGTGGGGCTCAAAACTGTACTTTATTGGGTGGAAGCTGTGTGATATTGCCTTTATTCCACTTTCTTTAAAAACCTATCATTCCAGATTTTGAGATTTCATGAGTTAGGTTATACCGGTGAAAAACTGGCTACGTGAGCACATATACCATATAATTCTATGAAAGAATTTTTAGAGTAGTCTCATTTCAAAATCGAAACAGCATATTGAACAGCTTACCCAGATTTCAAAATGCGATTCGCTTCATACAAGAATTCTGAACAATTGGTTCCCATTAAAGATAAGCAAAACACTGCGATATCAACTTCGCTGTTTTTAAGAGGTGTCTATAAAAAGCGAAAATCAATTTGTATGTCCTATTTTTATTCGCAATCAGATTAGTAAAAACAAATATGTGCATTAACAATTAAAGCCTCAGTGAAGAACTTCTTAGAAAGTTTCGTCTATTAATCTATGTCTTTGTATATCGATTATTGGAGAAAGTGATTTTAACTGCATTTTCAACAAAGAAAGCGACAGATGTGTACATATCTAAGATCCTAAAATGAAGAGGAAGCATACTAGTGTAGATTCGTTTTTTTTTAGAGAACATTTAGGTTAAACGTCGAATAGTTAGGCCATCACTCAACCCACCATCATTGTGCTGGAAGTTAGTATGTAGGTTGGGATATGTGTGAAAAATCTTTGTAAAACATTTACAAAGTACAGCTTTACTTACTCTGAAGTGGCTTAAACTGAGTCATGAAACGTAGGAAAATTTACGTTTTCTACGGATTGGGATATTACAAATATATCATTTATTGATAACAATCTACCCAATGCTCAATTTATTAGAGATCAAATCAAATCTTGGTAATGATACTTTACTAACTAGGGTTTAAACCACGTTAGAATTCAAGGGGCCAGTGAAACCATTTAGATATCCGAAATGGAATGACTAGAGCGTAGTTCGACTCCGAAAACTATTAACTGAAAGTCGTGTTTTCATCAGTAACTTGGAACTTGAGTTAGAATACTAGTCGTCTGAAAATCCCTTAGTAACTAGGCAGTTGCATTCACCTGAGCGGATATATTTCTATAAGTATTGAGGTTTGATTGTATTTTTTGGCTAAAATCTATCATAATTAATGTAAAACTTAGCACAAGCAGGTATCAGCTCAAGTTACAGCATCACACAAGAAGTAAGAAATTAACAATACGTATAATGGACCATTCAGAATAATAATAGTGGTAATGGCTGTAAGAGAAACTTAATATGAAGAAGGAAATTGGAGAATAAAAGTGTGAAATAGTGTTTAAACTCAAAACATGGGTGAACCCTAAGGATGAGCGCATCTGGGACATCGTGATTGATCTCAAATTGTTACCTAAGATCGACAACTATTAACTGATATTAACTTATGAACCTTGGAGAAATAGTTTACATAAAACAACACGGCTCAAACCGAAAATTAGTGGTCTCAGATATCGACCCTATGAGGTGTTTCGAGCCCCACTTTTAGTTTGCTTCGAACCATTCTCCTATCTCATCAGCAATGCTGACTGGGGTTGGCGGTGGCTAGCAAGCTTAACGCCTAACTGTCTCGAATGGTGGAAGTTTATAGCCCCATGAACTGGATTGGATATTTTTCATCAGATACCTACCTTCAGTATCACTCAATCTGTGTTTTTATCACATGCGATCGATCCTCCGAAGAAACTATCATTACATCCTTGTAACTTACGTACATTCTCTTCGTTTGATGGAGTAGTCTGTTGATGATCAAGACATTTAGTTCCGACCAGTAGGTTGCGAACCCTAATCGATTTAGTTCAGTCCATAAGCCGAATAGTGAAATTAATTCTGACACAAATGGTGTTTTTTAAAGCCAGTAAAGTAAGTTTGCTGTTGGTAGATGAGTTACATTGAAACAATGAACTTTTTTAGATTATTTCACAGCCACGAATTAAAATAGGACTGATGCCTAAATATTACAATGTCTCGATGGTTCGGAGACATCTCACCAGAATAAAATCATTTGCGCAACGGCGTGTTCCTTAAGTCACGTAACTATCTAACTGAGTTGTTGCACATGCAAACAACTTTGGGAACAAGTTATACATATTACAAATCAACGAAGTTATCACAACAGAACAATTAATTATGGAAGTGTCAGGGGAATCTCACAGAAAGCGAAAGCATGATAAGCAACAGAGAAATCCTCATAAACATCGATAAAGTGCATGGTATATAACGATACGACTTACATGAGCCATATCACAAGCAATGACATGTTCGTTTACGGAGACAAGATCAAAAGAGTACACTTCGTAATTACTAGGCAATAACTGACTTAATCTTCCATCACCACAACCAAGATCAGCTACTTTGTAGTTTGCCATTAATTTGAACATTCTTCGATAATTTTACTCTTGACCCAGATGAGAGGATCTTGAGGCCACTGGGAAAGTTGGCGTTGATAACCTTCATGGTATATTTCGAATGATTCAGGATCCTCCTTGAAAATGGCAGCTGCTTCTTCACTTGTGCAGGTATACAACTTTTCATTCAGAAATCGAAACCTCTAACTTACAGAGTGTAAGTGAAAAAACTTACATTGAAGCGTTTATCAAGCAATCGAAAGTGTTCTTCTTTGGATTTTTGGAATGTTTAGATACTTTGTCGATTTTTCCAGAGTGATGTCTAGACTTTCTCTTGGTTTTTGAAAGTGTTTTCCTGAGCTTTGATAAGTTGAACTTCGTCATATGAATGGTGAAGTAACGCCGCAATCTATTTTACCTCCAAAATCTATTGACCCTGAACTTCGTGCCGTCAAAATGGATGACTCAAATGACTTGGATTACGTAAGTAGGCTGTTAAAAAGCTTTTTTTAACTCTTTCTTTCCTAATGTGATGTTGCCTAGCCCTGGAAGGAACGAGATGAACTAGAAGATTATCGAACTTTGAAGAATCGTCGAAAAGTAAGTCATGAATGTACGAAAAGAGCTTTTTGTCAATTATTTGAGAAAAAATCAAAATTCCTTCAGCTGAAACACTTCCGTCATAGACGAAAATGCGTAGCATTTTACTGTAATTTTGATAGCAATTTGGTGTCTTACTCTTTTAATTGACTGACTCATGTCGGTTTTCGCACCTGTATAAGCTGTTCTTCATTTTCTGAATAACCTCATACCTGTTAAGTTTACGGGTCCCATTGGGTATATCCATGACTACTGACAATCATTGCGGACATTATTTCAGAACCACTGACGATGCTATTCAATAACTTCATGTTTTTAACTGAACCCCGTAAGGATTGTAAGGACGTTATGGTTAGCCCGATATTTAAATGTGGAGGGACGCGGACCATGCCCAACTACTGATCTGTCAGTTTAACTAACATGAGAGTTAAGTTACTTTAAAAAAGAAATCACGTTACCTTACTTCGTCACGCAGAATAATGCAACCTGCCACTCCTGAGAAACAATTCTTTTGAAATAAACACTCATGCTTAACAAACCTACCGAGTGCCAGAGAGGATCAAACATCAGCCCAAGGTAACGCTTTATCTGCCATTGTGATGGCCATATACTTCAAGGAATGATTCAAAGATTTAAATCCTGGCCGTACGCAAATTTCTCGAGAGTGACGGTAAATGGAACATTACCTGAACAGGTGCCAGTTTTAGGTAAAGTACTACAGGGCACAACATTACTTCCCCTACTTTCTTCTTCTGCATATCATCAAATAATCGGAACTGCCTAAGTTGTCAGTCATGCTGTTTGGAGATGACTTCAAGATCTGGAAAACAATAAGTAGTGAGGCTGATCATCTTTGCTTTCATGGGTGCAGGAAAATGAAACTTAGAAGGAACAGTAAGTTATGACTAGTGTTGGTACCCTATGATCTGAAATCTTACGCTATCTGCGAATAAGATGCCTTTCGAGCAAACCTCGAAGTAGTAACTTTGAGGTGCGTTTTTAGCCGATTGCACTAATCAACAGTTCCACTCAATCCCATTTAGGGTATGAAAACATAATGTTTCTTCCCTCACTCCAAAAGGATAGGAATAAACTGCAAAGTATTCGGCGGTGAGCCACGAAATCAGTTGGGGCACTAAAGTTCAAACCTTATGATGAGCGGCTCCGATCACTGGACTTTTGGACATCAGAGCATAGGCGTCTCAGTGATGACCTTTTAACGACCAATAAAAACTTAAACACTCCTGGGTATCCTCTTAAACACATACTTAGGCTCAGTCCCGACACAAACCTTGGGAGAAACACCGAGAACTTGGAGACACAACACGGTAGAACGTACTGTTGACATACTGCTCCTTCGGAGTAGTTAAATGTCGGAATTCACCGCCGTCTGATATAGTGCAAGCGAGTTCCTGATAGTCCTTCAAGAGGAAACGTGACGTATTCCTAAGGAATAGGGGCAGTTCCTTTCCATAATTAACTTTTTTCCTTTCTGTCATCAAGTATACTTATGTTCTTATCTGGAGGAATCGATGATCTACTGCTATTAGATACGAGAGCCCATTAAGCGAAAGCTTTTCCTAATCCGTTCAGAACTATTTGAAACTATTTTAAAAGCAATTGCGTATTGCAACCCGGCATTCCTCAAAGGTTTTCTGGTGTTGTGGTCACTTCGATGAACATTCAATTGCTTTGATGCGTTGTTTCGGTTTTTATATTCCACCTAAGTGAGACCACACCTAGAGTACTGTTACCGAACATAAAGTTCACGTTCTGTTAAGGAAACTGACATACTCGAACGTGTTCAGGGTGTGGGAACAAAATTAGTAGGAGGCCTTTCCAAATTTTCTAATGATGAGCACCCAAAACGTCTTAAACTTTTCCTCTTATCGTATCATGAAACGCAAGGGGACCTTGTGTTGTCATTCGGCAACTTTACTAACGATCTGAATATTTATATGTTTCATCTTTTTTCTCCCTGGAGAACTAATCGTCTGTGAGGTCACAGGAAGACGGCTCAAGAACTGCAATCTCATAAATTCAATGTGGGGTTCCGTTTTTCTCATCAAGTAGTCAGTGACCTTAACGCCTCACGTTAACGGGTAGCATCAGCCCGATCAGCGAACGACTTCAAGGAGAAGCTGAACATTCCCTGGAAAACAGGCTGGAAGTATCAAAACCGGTCCACCAACCTACTAATCTTATCACTGACGGCTGAAGCTTGAATGCGGGAAGTTTGTCCGTGATGTTTACGGCGATTTTCCGTTCTATTATTAAGTCTAGGGCTACTTAGTTTTATCCTCCAATTCTTTCAGATATGTTACGTGCAGTGTCTGTGGACTTCCCTGCCACGTGGGGATCACTAAAAGATGTAGTATATAAGCTTCTTCGGTGCGATTTTGTTGACAGGGATTTGTGGAATTCTAGTTTCGGCCATGTGTATAGCTTATGTACTTCAAGTCCGGTTTCTCATGCATCTGCTTTGTATAAATCTACTACAACACTCATTAGCGAGAGGGTAGAAGAAATAGCATCAGAGTTGGAGGTCATGAGTGACTCTGATTTACTTCCTAAATATGTCAAGTTTTGGGAGTCATATCATCGCGGACTTACATATCTAGATATCCTTTATAGGTAAATTTTTAAAGTCCCTAATGTTTAACGTTTAATCAGATATATGAATACGCAGCACGTAAAGAATTTAAGGCCATCAGAAGCCGATATGTGCTATGGGGCGGCACTTCCTATGGCAGATCAGCATACTATGGAAATTCTGGAGGTCGGCCTTGCTTTCTGGAGACTATATCTAATCGATTGTATGAAAAGTCGATTGTCCTCTTGCTTGATGCGCGAAGTTCTCAAGTGAGTTCTATCTTTTTATTTCTAAACTTCAAATAGCGACAGATTGGGAATTTGTGGACAACAGAACTGCATACATCCATGTTTGGCTTCCCTTTTAAGAGTTGGAGAAGTAAGGGATTTTGAAAGAGTAAGCAAAATACGACAGAAAAGATTTGCATTGTGACCCTGTTTTTTTATCTTAACTTTGTATGTTAAAGAACACGTTTAAATTTTTCGTAGCCACTCCTTTTTCTTTCACATGTGTTAACTAGGAAATGCGAAGTGTTTTGATCAGTAAATAATAAATAACCTCGTGTTGACACAAACCTTAGCACCACACATATCGATTACTTTTGTGTCTGTTCTGTTACTATTCGTATTAATCCATGTTTACTACCATTTTTATTAGACTACTTCTCCATTATCTTGGTCCAATGCACTAGTGGCGCTAATACTTCTGTTCTCCCATTACTTAAAAGGCTGGAATGGAAATATACAACCAAATATTTCAGAACCCTTTGATTGACGCTACGCGGTCATTTTACTCGCAATGGGCATGTCAACGGGAGTCGGAATTAGGATGTGCTCAGTATGTGACTGAGGTATGTCACAATATAAAATATTTATCGTGTTCGTGTATTTTACATTTAGAACCTTTGTAGCCAAAGTCAATAATTATTTATTTACTTGCCGTACAGTCTTATATTGACGTATATATTCTCTCCGCACATATAATAACACGACATAACGACGTACAATAATTAACGTCATATGCTTTTCATATTTTGTTTCCATACCTATTGATTACTAAAATCATAACTAATCACTGGATAAACCTTTAGCTCAAACATTATTAGTCACCGGCTACCATGGGACTGCATCTCCTGACGTTCCTCCACTGCCTTGTGGATCTAATCTTTAGTTCGAAGGCTCCGGATATGGCCCCCTAAGAAAACCACCTGCTCCAGTTTGGGCACCCGGTCAGTATCACAGCCCACACACAAATCAAGTGACTTGTGTTGGGCATATGTATTCGATGCCCCTTTGTATCAATATTTGTGTTTAGATAAATAAATAAACTGAAGTGTATATTTACCTCAAAGGATTTGTCCTTCGTTAAACCAATCAGTAACGAATCATAGGATTTGAATTACATCTCTAGTGCAGCATAAATACTACATAGGTGCCCAATTCGAATTGCATAGACGAAAGTCCAATCCACAGAACTGGTTGGAAGTCATGCTTTAACCTGTAAGCTTAAAGTTTTGGGGACACATGTATATGTGTATTTATGGTAACATAGTCAGTCATAATTTCTATAACATGATAAGCCCAACAGGACATATTCATCTTCAGCTAGTTTATTATTCCTCGAGAAAATTCCACATCTTAATTATTATGCTACATGCTTTAGCCGGACAATATGAGGTCCAGTAATCTATTCTTTTACATAATGAAAATTGCACCATCTCGTGTCTACATCGCGGTCGAGTGTTTCGTTTGGTTTTGACAAAAAAATTAATGTCTCGGATTCTATTGTTTTGTGTATAAACTTGTTCGAGAATTCAGTTATTTGTTCCTCATTAGAATCA